AAGAAGCAATAAAAGCAGAGTTAAACTCACTTACAAAAACGTAAAGTATTTGGACTTGTAGTCTAATACCCTGAAGGAACATAGCCTATAAGATATAAGTGGATATTGTTGGATATAAGTGAGTATTTGTGCTGTAGCGTACTGAGAAAAATGAAATTGTTAGATATAGGGCACAACTTATTGTGCAAGGTTTCTTGTAGAAACTTAGTATTTACTATGAGAAAACTTATTCACCTGTAATGAATGCAATTGCATTTAGATTTCTCATTAGCTTGGTAATCATAGAAAATTTAGATATGCTTTTAATGGATGTGATTACAGCATATTTATGGATCACTAGATAGTGATATTTATATATATATATCCCTGAAGGATTTAAGATGCCTGAGTCATTTAATTCAAAACCCAAAAGTGTTTGTTCTATCAAGCTACAAAAATGTGGTACAATCGCCTCAGTGAGTATCTGTTGAAAAAGGGATATGAAAATGATCCAATTTGCCCATGCATTTTTATTAAGTAATCAGAATCGAGATTTGCAATTGTTACAATATATGTTGATAATTTGAATCTTGTGGAACTCCAAAAGAGCTTACATAAACTATAGAATATTTGAAATGAAAGATCTTAGCAAAACGAAATTTTGTATCGACCTGCAGATCGAACATTTGCTAAATGGAATTCTTGTTCATCAATTAAAAAGTCCTGAAGCACCTTTATATGAAAAAAGCTCTTCCATTAAATACTCCAACGATTTTCTCACCCTCCAGAAAATGGTGAAGAAATTCTTAGTCCTTAAGTACTATATCTTAATGCAATTAGTGCTATTATGTAACTTATAAATTGTACCAAGTCCAATATTGCATTTGTAGTCAATTTATTTGCGAGATATAATTATGTATCAACCTGAAGACATTGAATGTAGTGAAGCAAATATTACTTTATCTTCGTGGAACAACTGATATGGATTTATTTTATTTAAATGAATCAAAGCCACAACTAATTGGATATGCAGATGTTGGATATCTCTCTGATCCACATAAAGTCAGATCACAAACGTGATATGTTTTTACCTATGGAAATACTGCTATATCTTGGCGAAGATCAAAGGAGACTATATCAAAGGTGACAGGACCAAACACATTTCACCAAAATTCTTTTACACACATGAGCTCTAGAAGAATGGTGATATTGATGTTCAACAGATACACTCAAATGATAATCTGGTTAATCTATTTACTAAAGCACTACCGACTGCAACATTGAAGAAACTGGTGCATAATATTGGGAATCGTCGATATAAAGATCTATTATGCAGCTTTGAGGGGGAGTTATCTATTTCAACAGATTTGCAGATTGTACACTTTTTCCTTTGTCTAATGTTTTTTCCAACTGGGGTTTTCTTAGCAAGGTTTTAATGAGGCAATCTAAACAAATCACGTACAAGAACATCGTATTCTTTTTCCTTCACTAACCCTGTGTTTGATTAGAGGATTTTGGAAGGGATTTGGAAAAAGAAAGGGAAAAGGTAGATGAAATGTAAATAAAATATGCCTACATTTCACCTAATTTCACACACCTTTTCACTTTCCCTTTCTAAATCTCTTTCCAAATCTCCTAACCAAACACAACATAAAAGTTTTTCCCACTGGGTTTTTCTTGGTAAGGTTTTAACGAGGCATGTTCTTAGTATAAGGTCATGTAAGGTAGAGTATTGTATAATATATTATATTATATTTGAATGACCAAAGGTCGTGTAACTTCTAGCTTTGAAAAGAAATTTCTAGCAGTAAAAAAAGATGACTAGATAAAGAGTTAACACAAAGTTAGAGATTTGGAGAGAATCACTTGAATCTAAAGGATTTCGAATAAGCAAAACTAAAACAGAATACATGAAGTGTAAATTTAGTAACAGTAACAATGAAAGTAGAGGAGAAGTGAAGATTGAGAACCAAGAACTATCTAAGAGTGAGTATTTTTGTTATTTAAGGTTGATTATCACAACGACAGAATTAAGATAGGGTGGCTTAAGTGGAGAAGTGTGTCTGGGGTACTACGCAATAGACATGTATCCACTAGACTAAAAGAAAAGTTCTATAGAACGGCTATTAGACCAGCGATATTGTATGGGACGGAGTTTTCGGTGACCAAGAAACAACATGTAGATAAGATGAGTGCTTCTGAGATGAGGATGCTAAGGTGGATGTGTGTCAAGACTATAAAAGACAGAATTAGGAATGAATATATTCAAAAATGGATAGAAGTAGTACTGATAGAAGATAAGTTGAGAAAGAATAGATTGAGATGGTTTGGTTATATTCAAAGGAGACCAATGAGGCAATAGTGAAGAGATGCGATGCAGTGACGGTAGATGGAGGTATTAAGGGGACAGGGTAGACCTAGATTAACATTGGCTAGCATAGTAAATAGAGATATGAATCTACTTAATTTGACTAACAATATGACCTTTGATAGAATCGCGTGGAGACTAAGGATTTATGTAGCCGATTCCATTTAATGGGACTTAAAACTTGGTTTGGTTTGATTAGGTAAAAAATGATAGCTAGACGGCTTGCATAGTCAGCTATGTTTGCTTATAAAAACAAAGCATATTGCTGAATGAAACTTGTACTTTTTCAATAAGAAGAAAATACTTATTCTTTCTTTTCTATTTCTCTTGTTCTCTTTCATATATATTATTATTTTATAACAAAGGGAGGTTATTAGAAAAAAAAAAAAAAGAAACTGTTATCATATGCAGCTAACTGAATATAGGAATTAGAAAAAAAATTTAAATTTAGTAACATCTGCAGCTGGCCTAGCTAAAATTAAATTTGTACACCTGACACTAAAGCAAAAAAAAATGAGTTACATTACTAGATTATCTTTTTTTGGTTCATTAGAAAACGTAGAAATGGTTTATCAAACATCATTTGCAACTAACACACATTAAAATATGATCTGAAAGTGAATGAAAAGATAGCCTTAAATAATGGGTCAGAATGAGGACCTTTTCAAGCCTGATTCCAAAATGCTAAAATTCATCAAAATGTGTGTGAAAATCAAATATTAAAAATGTAGATACATCAGGCACAACTTATTGGAAACTACAGAAAACAATACAAAATTATAAAGTGTGTCAATATGCAATCAAAATTTAGGTAATAAAATGAGTTTCATACTATGAAGTATAGGTACTTTGGCAAACATGTAGTACCCGTATCGGGTACTTATCGACGTATAGTATTTCGTATCATATTTCTACATACGGATCGGGTATTCGAAACACGTATCTAAATTTTTTCTTCTTAATTTTTAATGTACTCAGACGTACTTAATATATACCCAAGCCGTACCGTACCTCAGTCGAAACAATATTTTCTGAAACTATGGAGATAAAATTACCTTCATTAGATTTCTTTTTTATTTTTAGTTTTATACTTAGTGTGATTTTAAAATTAAGTTATGATTTGTAAGTTATTTAATATAATAACATTTAATTTTGGTTTATACCTTTACTTTTGGTATTAAATGTTAATTGTAGGTTGGATCTTCACAAATTAATCTATTTAATCAATTTTTGCATTACTCCAAATTAAAAATAAATATTTTTTTACAAATGTACCAAAGCCGTACCCGTATCCTATTTTTTTTGAATTTTATCGTATCAACGTACCCGTATTATACCAATGCCAGCACACATACCCGTACCCGTGCTTCATAAGTTTCATAACAGAAATCTAAGTCCATGGAAATAAAATATGTCATTAGAAACACAAATGCAGAGGACTTACAAAATGAGGTAATGATCCAAGGAGATTCCTTTTTTAGCCTTTTCTTGAGGATAGGTGGCGACGAGCTTGTCTCATTTGATTAACATTGCCGCCAGTTGGTCTGTCTGGTGAGCCACACTGTTGAACCTTATCTTGTGATTGCTTTTCAAGAAGAGAGATTAGTCTATGAAGGTCACTGGCTGTTTGTTCCTACAAAATGGAGTCCTAAGGAGAGCTACTCCAGGATTGGATACATATCATTCGTTCATCAAGACCGTGTACCGTCGCAAAAAACAAGTTTTTTTGTAGTGACATTTGAAGTCTCACTACCTTTTGATCAAACGTCCAAGGGTTAATGTAGAATAATCACTTCCATTTCTTGGGGGATACACCAGAGATGCTTGGGCAAGGTGGATATCATGGGACACTTGGCAATTTTAAGAGCTAACCTAGCATTCCACTAACCAAAGTAGTTGAGGAGAATCAGGCCGCTGTTCCTAACAATCAGGAAGTTCCCGTAGCAAGACCTCTAATCCAACTAAAATCAAATATTTAGCAAGACATCCGTGTCAAAATTTAGCCCAGTTTAGTTCTAAGGCATCCATGCCAAACTATATCCGTGTTGATTTTAGTTGTAGTTTTGGCTAAAGTAAGATTTGGTGTAAAATACTGAGGTGCAAAGTGAAATTTTCCCTAACCCAATATTTCGCTATGCCATTAGAATCCCTTAAACTAATGAATTTCATATATCTAAAATTATATCAATTAAAAAATTTCTCAAAGTTCTGTGTTTAGAAGCTTTTTTACCTTCTCAAAGGTATATTATCTCGGGTGGTGTTTGCGAGGCATGTAATAATGTGGTGGAGCTCCTGAATCTGATATACATTGCTTGCTGGATTGTTATTTTGCCTCTTGAAGTTTGGAAATTATGCGGATTTTAAGATTGGGATACTATCTAAAGAATAGAGGAACAATGTGGGGCTTCGACCCATTAAATGTGAGGATCCCACTCCACATAAGGGAGTTGTATCCGATTATGTGATTGGATTCTGTGCACATAGAAGACCTGTTCGTTGTGGTTTTTGGGCTATTTGGAGCAACAGAAATGCAGTAAAATTGGTGGGCCTGGTAGAATTTGCCGTTAACTACTTTTCAAAGCTAGGTGTAATATTAGTTACAACAGGCTAATTAGTGTAATGTTAGTTAATCTAAGGAGGAAGAGATGGACAATTCAAAGTCATTACGAACATTAACTAAAAGGCAGTAGATATATAACAACAATAATGAGAAACACAATGCTCAGAAAACAGTTCCACAAGAACATTGCATAGACAACATACCCAACAAAACAACATTAATAACAGAATCCTAAATACGGCTAAGTTCAAGGCCTGCTGCTGGAGATAACATGCTCCTTCCTCCTCCTTTTTAGATACAAGCCATTCATCGGTTGGTTTTCCATCGAACATCTGTCACTTTCTCTTGCTGATATGAAATTTCCAGTACATGCACTAAGACAATGTCAGAAGAATCAGTTAATGCTAGAAAGAATAAAAATATAAGCAACACTTTCTAGTTCAAAGAAATTGACTCACCTGGGAGAGCCACAGACTCATAAAATCTTGTACACTTCAATTTATTGAAGCCTCCTAAGGCCACTAAAGTCCTCCCACCCTGCCAAGTCAAGATTTGGACAGTTACTAATCTCAAGATTCCTCAACTTGGCTAGGTTCTTCATGGTACTTGGCAGAGAGGTCAAATTGGGACACGCTGCGATAGTCACTGTTTTGAGTTTGACGAGGAGTTGCATTCCTTCAGGCAAAGATTTAAGGTTTCCGCATTCTGTAATTCGAAAGGATCGGAGAGAGGTCAAGCGTTGGATTTCATTCTCTGGAAAACAACTTTGTTGTGTGGTTAAGTATAAATGCCTAAGACTAATTAAGTTCCCTATATTTTTAGGCAACTCTCGAATTTTCACACATAACCAGATTCGCAAAGTTTGCAAATTGAACAGTTTGCAAATGGCATTAGGTAGTGTCTCAATATTTGCATTCCCACTGATGTCAAAAAATCTCAAATGCTTCAAATTACCAATGGAATGTGGCAGTACCTGAAAACATGAGTTACTCAAATCAAGCACATACAGATACTTGAACTTTGAGATGCATCTGTTAACAAAGCTTTTGTCACCTGCTCCCAGTCCTTGAAATGGAAAGAAAATAGTCCTGAGATTCTCTAGTTTGAACAATGACTTTGTGACGTCTTCTTCCCCTGAACAATCAAAATCATGAAATGATACATGCTTTACCTTGTCAGAAATGGGTCCAGAACGATAATTTGTTGTACTTAAGCATTCTTTATTTGCCATAAATACTGCAAGATCATGAATGATCTCAGGCATTCTACACGTATTTGGTAAATTGCTATGTTCAATCTTTTCTAAGAAAAATATGGAACATAATTGATTCAAATAATCAGCCCCAATATCTTCCAACTCACAATTTAGGCCAGATGATTGAATGAGCCCCTGCGCCAGCCACAACTGAATCAATTTATCAATTTCAATTTCATAGCCTTTTGGAAAAATTGAGCAATACATGAAGCAGCGTTTCATGTCAGTTGGTTGTGGGTCATAGGTTGATCTTAACACTGTGAAAATGTCACGTTTCTTTTGCGCCAATTCCCATAGTTGTTTCTCTTTTAAATCTAACCATTTACTTTCATCAGTCTCCATAAACAAATTGTTGCCTAAAGTCTTTGCTGCAAGAGGAGATCCGTGGCACTTTTTCACAATTTCCTTTGCAATTTCTGAGAGCTTCACAATCACATGTTCTTCCATCAATTTTTCACGACAACCTGCCCATTTCCAAAGCAATTCAAGGCAATCTTTATCTGAAAGACTCTCTAAATTGTATGTGGGAACTGTGCCCACATTTGTAGCAACCCGCATGTTACGTGTAGTCACGATGACCTTACTTCCTGTGTCACCGTATGTCAATAAGCCATACAACTTGCACCAATCTCGATTATCACAATCACATAAATTGTCCAAAACGAGTAAAAATTTCATTTTATGCAATTTTTCTCGAAGGAGATTCTTTAACTGATTTGAATTGAGGTCAGCACAAGGGGGGCAATCCGTTATGGACTGAATAATTTTTCGCATCACATGTTTAACATTAAGATACTGTGCTACTGTCACCCAAACCCTCAAGTCAAAAAGCTTGGCGACCATTTCATGATTGTACAGAAATTTAACGAGAGTTGTTTTACCAATGCCTCCAATGCCAACAACGGGGAGGACTAACAAGTTCTCATTATAATCACTTGGTGTCATTATGAGTTCTAATAACTGTACTCTATCATTGTCCCTTCCGACAAATTCTGATTCATTGACATTGGAGAACATTGACGCACTGGGCACGTTTTGTTGTGATGTTGTGACGATGGGATGAAATTTATTCCTATCATCTGCAATCATGTCTAATCTCTTTCTGATCTTTTTTATTCTAGTGCCCATTTTAAATGTAAATGGCAAATCCAGTGTGTGTGAGAATGATAAGAATTTGCGTACCAGCTCCTTCTGTATTCCAATGCTGCTGCTGCTACAATGATTCATCCTCATCAACTGCACCTGACGTCGCAAAACTTCGTAGTGGAATTCATCGAGTAGGTCATCTGCTTCATAGAAAGCAGCTTGCAGTCTCTCATACCATAAGCCCGTCACAATTGAGTAATGCGCCTGATCGCCGTGGAGTCTCTCAGCATCTACGAGCACAGCATTGATGGTGGACAAGGTGCCCTCAAGTGTTTTCAGCTCCTGCTCAACACCCCATGCCTTGCCAACTTCCTGGAGAGCAACGGAGCCTATCTTGCTCACAACTTTACTTGCTAAGTTGAAGAGAATTGTTTCTACCATGTTCAATAAACTTTCAAGGAAGACCTTACATTATAGATCAATAAAGTTAAAGGCATATCTTGATCAAGAACAACAGCAAGAACAAGAAGGAAGATTAAGCAATAGTTAGTTATGGAAGCTAGGTAGGTGTAGATGAGAAATAACTCAGAGTCAATGGAAAAAATGGACACAGGATCTGAATCAAGAGTTGTGTAATTTACCCTTTTATTGATACGTTGTAATTTAAATAAAGTAAAAATAAAATAAAAATATTACTATTTAATGTGGGTTACACCGCTGTCTCCATTTCCCTTGTATGAAAATCTAGAAAGAAAAGTACGAAAGATTTAGGATTTTTTATTATTATTATTACTACTTAAAAAAAAAAAAAAAAAAAAAAAAACATGCAATTACTAGGATATTGTCTACACATGTTCCACATGGTTTTTCACTTTCAGAGTTTCTTGTCGGGTCGGGGCGGTTCTAGCTTATTGTAATTTTTAATTTTTTTTAAAAAATAATTTCTATTTTTTTTATCCAATAATAATTTCTATTTAAAAATAAATTATAATATTCTCTTTTGAAATTTAGAGAAAAAAATATAATAAATCACATAATTTTAATATAATTATACCGACTTTCATTTTAGTAAGGTCAAATGAACCAAAACTAACATAGATAGTGTAAAGTAAAACTTTAAAAGAATTTAATGAAATTATGTCAAAATTATGAGACTTACTATATTGTTTTCTTCTACATTTTAGGAGAGATTGGTATAATTTATTCTTTTATTTTAAGATTGGGTAAATTACACTTTGTTCCTTTTATGTTTGGTTATTTTCTTATTTTGGCCCTTAAAGTTTATTTTTTTTCCCACTTTAATTCTTTATGTTTCAAATTTTTCTCAGTTTACTCCTAAAATTAAATTCTGTTAAAAATTAGACAAAAAACGACACATTGACAATCACGTAATATAAAAATATTTTACTATATATAATTCACACGTTTGATACTCAAACCTCAACATAATAATATATTTTTTATATTAAGTGAACTTTCATGACATTTTCTATCTAATTTTGAAGGATCCTAGGGAGGGCAAGCTTGGCCCAAATAGGTAGGGGTCTTATAGAATCATCTCGGTTGCCGACAATGGGGCATACCAGGTTGAAAACACTAATGGCAAAGAGTTGACAAGACTCTAGAATATTTACAATTTGAAGTTTTTTTATCATTAGTTTTTTGTTTTTCGAAATTTATGTCATAATTTTATTAGCCGAAGTAATAATAAAATGCTAGTTTGATTTTTATAAATTTGAAATTTGTGTGATAGGACTGACCAGTCCTATGACGATGTTTCTAAATGAAACATGACAAATAACTTAGACTTATTATATGGCAGAATTGAATTATACTTGCATATAATAGAGTTGAACTAAGTTGGTGATATTTCTAAGTGAAACATGATGAATAACTTAGACTTATTATATGGCAGAGTTGAATTATACTTGCATATAATAGAGTTGAACTAAGTTGGTGATGTTTCTGAATGAAACATGACGAGTACCTTAGACTTATTATGTGACAGAGTTAAATTATACTTGCATATAATAGAGTTGAACTAAGTTGAGTTAACCTAGATTTGCCAAGTCGGCAGAGTTAAACCCTGAATGGAACTAACTCCACTTTAGTCAGGTCAACAGAGAAACCAAAGTCAAACACCTCGGCTAGTCTTTGTTTGAATCAGACTTCGGCGAAAGGCCAAAAATGCATAATGTGAACTTAAGTGGAACTTAGGTTCACATTAGGGGGCATGGAGCAAGAATGATAAATAAGCTTGAGAGCTTGGGCAATTGTTGAAATTTTTAGGAAAAATTTACAAATTAGACTGGGCTTGACACTTGTTGAAATTTCAGAACAATTTACAAGTTGAAGTGAGCCGAGGCAATAAGCAAAGGAGTATCCGAGGTACATATTACCCGAGATAACCAACCGGGTTGTCAAGGTTGGAAGGGTTGGAAGGGTGAAGTCTTGATAGAAGACAGCAAGTGGAAGTAAATGAATACATGATTGAATAAAGAAACAACACACTTGTAGAAATATTTTAATAAAATATTTTTAAGTGTTAGCCGAGAAAAACAGTCAAGGTTTAAAACCGAGGTGGTCAGCTAAGGATAACTCCGAGGTAATACTTATCCGATATGTTCTACCTCAAAGTGATTCATAGACTATACTTGGAAGAAGTAGAAAAATATTCTAAGTATGGAGAAACATACAAACATGCAAGGCATAAACAGAAAAGCAGTAAACATATATACACTTGGCCAAAAGAAAGCATGCATTCATAGAAAAAACTATTTCAAAGACAAAAAGGCACTTCGGCCTGGCCAAGGAAACTACTTGTTCAGATTACAAACAGGCACATTGGCCAAAAGAAAAGTAAAATAGCTCAGATGGAAAAATGTTACAACTACTCAAAAGTAAAAAGAAAAAGTACAAAAGGGGAAAAATCCTAAGTTCATGCATCTTTGACGTTTTCCGCAGTTTGCCCTGCTTCAGCAATTGGTGTTGTGTCAGCCTCGGCAGGCAACTCGGAAAACCTTTCAGCTTGGACCTCAGCGTCGATCTCACGAAGAGTGTCATCCAAGCTCTTATTGGTAGTCTCAATCTTGGCTTCAGAAGTAGTTTTTTGAACCTCTTCCTCGTCATCCTGAGTCAAGTCTAGGACTTGTTTATTCAGAGTTAGGAACTTGGCCCCAACAGTTGTAACTTTTTCAGCATCAACCTCAGCCTCGTCCTCTGATTGGCTTGGAGTAGGAGGAAAGGGCATGACAAGTCGGCTTGTATACCAAAAAGGCGAGTCGTCAGGGATGGCCAACTCGTTCAAAGTAACCATCTAGCCCAGGGTGTACCCCTTGTTGCACTCCTGGTTGACTTCCTTTTTGTAGGCATCTCGCACGTCAGTCCCTTCGGTATAGGCCTTCTCGTCAGCCGCCTTAATTTTGGCCGCTTTGGTTACCAATGCCGCTTGGAACGCAGTCTGGGCCTGAGACTCTTTCTCCTTGGCTTCTTTGGCCTCGATCTTAGCGACCTCGGCCACATTCTCAGTAGCATTGGCGCGATCCTCGGCTTTGCTCTAGGCCAGTTAGGTAGTTTTTGCCTGGTCTTGCAAACTTCGGATGAGGGCCTCGGCCTTATTTAGAGAAGACAGGAGCTTGGCTGCCTCCTTTGTCTTATTTGTCAGTTACTTTTTAAATTCCTTGGTTTTAACTGCAAGGCAGTAGCCTTGCTGGATAGCCTGCAAAAAAAAAAAAAGGCAAATTCGTTAAGTATAAAAACCAGAGTTAAAATTAAACAAAAAGCTACAAGTGTTGAAACTATACGAAGACACAATGCTGCATCATCAAGGCGTAGTTTTCGTACTCTGAGAGCTCGGCCATCCGATTGATATCTACTAGAAAAAGAACGACAGTAGATACTGCAACGTTGACTTCCACACTATCGAGTGCACTATCCCCGGCAAGAAGAGGTCGGTCTCCAACCTTAACATTCAGAGTCAAGACCTCGTTGCCATGGAAAACACCAGGCTAAGTATCCCCACTAGACCTCGACCTTTTGGATTACGGTTGATCAAACGCCTCGTCCTCGGTAGGCCTCTTCTCGGCAGAGGCAAACTTCTCTATTTCAGCCAATTTGGAAATTAACATTGTGTCCTCTGATTCTACCTCGGTGGCGCTGGGTTTGGCCTTAGCCCTTTTAACCCTTTTGACCTTGGGTTTTTACTGAGATTGGGAAGAGAAAGAGGAATGAACCAACACTATGCTGGGAATGTCGGCAAGAAGGTCGTCCAAAATGATTTTAGCTCGGCCCATTTCTTTGGCGGTAGCAACAATAGTGACCTTGGTACTAAAACGGATTGCTGGAAGGGCTGTGGGTAGGTTAGTAGCGTAGTGAGCCAATGCCTCTGATTCTCAGTATCAGTGGCTGCGAGTTCTGCCAGCAGGAGCGGAAACTGGAGCTCGGCGCATCGACGTTGGCGCTGGGATGGAAGAATTAGCTGGGGGGCAGAAGTTGATGGTTGGTCTACAAGATCAGAGGTAGAGGCCTGATCTGGCCTTGGAGATGAGGCAGCTGGAGGAGTGGTGGTGGATGAAGGAGATTTTCTCTTTCTAGGGACGTTAGACAAAGGACTCCTGTACGTAGGGTTGAAATTAAGGAGGACTGGAGCCTTGCGCATTTCAATGGGAAAGCCAAAAAAACGCACCAAATCCTTGCCTAGCACGTAGTATTGGCGAAAATCCCTTTCGGGCTGAGGAAAGGCTGCAAAAACTCAAAGAGAACATTAGAAACAGAAAGATAGTTAAGTAAGGCAACAGAGAAAGGGACTTTGGGAGGGGACTAGGTTCTTACCTTTGTTATTCCTAAAAACTTCGCGGCGCAGGGGGAAGAGGTGGAGTTCATCATCTAGCGCGAACTCCCAATTGCCCGAGACAATTAGGTAGTCGTCTGCCACGCCTTTATTAGAATCTGGGATATCAGCTATCAGCTTGTATTGCGTAGATCTCGACTTGAGGTAGTAGGTGTAGCCTTTGGGGGTTTTTAAGCTACACATGGTGTAGCAATACTGGATATCAGAAAGGGTGATTCTGGCATTCTACAGACGTGCTTGTTCGGCAATGCCATTGATAATCCTAAAAGAGTTAACGGCCAGCTGCATGGGATTGAGTTTATAATAGTAGAGAACTTTCTTAAAAAGGATATCTAGGGGAAACCTAACTCCTCCTTCAACAACAGAGACGACTGGGAATGGCATGTAATCTTGACCAAGCATAATTGAGTCGTCCTTCCTAGCCAACCTCAGATGGACATCGGCCGGGATAGAAACTCTTGCCGGAAGTACTCTAGTTTGGTCGGGTTGTCTACTCTCCACCTGAACATGTCCATAATCTCGGCTAGAGTGGGTTCGGTAAATAGGATTTTGATAAAATAGCTTAACAAGGGGTTAAAAACCTTGGCTAGATCCTAAAAAAGGCACTGCGGCAAGGATTTTGAAGATCTGAAAGGAAATTTGTTTCAATTTTTCTTAGATATGTGGGTTCTATGGAAAATCCCAAACATAGAACTACAAAAACAAGAAACAGGAGCAAGAATCTGAAAAACAGACAAAACAAACAGAAACAGAACGAAG